TGTACAATATTTTTATATTTAAGGAATGCTTTAGTTACTGTCCTCATTTTAAGGGAATCTGAATCATCTTTTAATATTTGAGCTTTTAGAGCAATATCAGGAAAACAACAAGTTTGATTGTTCGCAAGTAAGTGGTCCAAAATTGTGAAAAATGTTATTTACAACTTTAAGTGAACACACACAGTTATACACCCACTTCCCACCCTCCATCTATTAACCATTTTGTCTTAAGGTTGTAAGTTAAGTCTTTGGAACTATGAAATATTGGAAATGTCTTTGCTCTCCTTAGTAAACACTTAGAAACTCAAATTCGTGATGACAAGATACATCATAAGTACAGAGTTCAGTTTAAATTCATTGTAACAGGTATATAAATGTTCGTTAGTGTTTTCCTTGTCTACCTAACAAATTTAATGGCTAGTCCAAGGCATTGCTTGAAGCACTTTCAGGTTTTCTTATTGGATTAATTTCAGTTTGTGACACAACAGCCATTAAATCTTTCTGAGAGACCATCATGGGGCGTTATTTTCCCTCACATTGCTCTGTGAAAGATTTTAGGTTTGTTTTTAATTCCTTCTACTTCATTTGCTTCTTTTCACTTCCTAATATCAGTTAACTATATCCTGATTTCTACAAAGTCAATGTAGCTAATATTCAAATTCTGCTTTATAACTATAGTCATGTCCTCTATACTGTCTATAGGTCAATTTCTGAAGTTAAAACCAATTAACACGTACTTTATGACCCTGTTCACTGAGGAGCCAAGTAGTGGGGAAAGCAGGGTGTGGTGGCACACACCTGTGATTTCAGTGGCTCTGGAGGCTGAGGCAAGAGGATTGCAAGTTCAAAGCCAGCCTCAGCAATTTAGTGAGGCCCTAAGCAACTCAGTGAAACCCTGTCTGTAAATAAAATATTTTTAAAAAGGGTTAGGGATGTGGCTCAGTAGTTAAGTGACCCTGGGTTTAATCCAAAAAAAAAAAGTAATAAGGTAAAGAATTCCATTCCTCCCTGTGATTTTGATGTGGTCCTTGTGCCATTTAGGGAGAATGTTTCCAATATCATGGCCAAATGGGTTAATGTTTGTTAGCTTTTATGAGTTAGGATCATCTCATGTTCTAGTTTGCTTTATATTTAGACCTTGACTTAACTTTCTTGTTCACTTTTCCTATAATTTCTTTTTCTTTTTATTTTTTTAAGGTACTGGAGATTGGACCCATGGGTGCCCTAATTACTGAACTATATCCCTATCCCCCACCTTATATTTTTAGACAGGGTCTCACTAACTTTCCAAGGCTGTCCTCAAACTTGTGATCATTCTGCCTCAGCCTCTGAAATCACTGGGGTTTTGGCATGCACTCCAGCACCTGGCTTCCTGGGGTTTTAATAAGTTTTCTTTTTTCTTGTTGCTAAAACAAGTAGTCAGTGTATCCCTTAAAATCATTCAGTGTGTTAATAGATGGCCTCTTTTGTTGAGTACATTTCCTATCCGGAAGCCTCCCTCCCGGGGTGTCCATCATTTTGCTCCAATCCCTGCTTCTTTTTCTGCTGTCCAGCTGTCATTCTGGGATTTTACTTCAGCACTGAGTTATCACCACTATTTCTGAATGTTGTGTTTTCTCTTCTCATGGTTTCTGTCTTCATTTTGCTCGAGTATGCACTTCTGTAGCTTCTTCAGAAAAGATGGGGGAGATAAAGTTTCTGGACTCTTATATGCTTAACTTTCACTTATTTGGTAATCTGGCCAAAATTCAAAATTCAAAAAAAAAAAAAATTTTCCCTCAAAATTTTTAAGTTGGTGCTCCTGTGTTTTCCAGCATTCAGTGTTGCAGAGGAGAAGTCCGATGCCAGTGCAGGGTTAGATTTTATGTGTGTCAGAGAGCCTTCAGTCGTGGTAGGAAGACACCTGAGAGAAACAAAAAGAGGAAAGATTTATTTGGCTCATGGCTTCAGAGGTTTTGGTCCATGGTCACTTGGTCCTAGCACTGTGGTCCTGTGGTGGGTAGCACATCATGGCAGGTGGTGTGTGGTGAGGCAAAGCTGCTTACATTATGGCAGCTAGGAAATGAGAGGCAGGGTCTCTAAGGGCACACCCCCAGTGACCTCACTTCCTCTCACCAAGCTCCACATGGTAAAGGGTTCTACCAACTCTTACTAGTGACATCAACTGGAGACCAAGCCTTTAATTCTTAAGATCCAAGCCATAACACTGTATGAGTGTTCAGTTGTTACATCTGGCAGCCTTTAGGATTTCTCCTGAAATTTCACAGTGATAACATATAGGTGTGATTTTTTTTTAATTTAGTTCTTTGTGCAGGGTGCTCAGTGGGATATTTCAGTCTAAAGACTTGTGTCTTCTTTGGTTTAGGGACATTTACATCTGTCACCTACCTGGTTATTTGTATTTGTTTTCTGAATCTCATATTAGTTGGCTATTGTGACTGTAAGATTTCTGTCTGAATTCACTCAAATTTTCTACTTTCTTCATCCTACTTAATTTTATCCTTCATATTTTTTATATTTTTTAATATTTTTAATTTCTAAATGTTTTTTTCTAGTGGGATTTTTTTTATAGCATTTTTTTTTTTTTTTTGGTGAGGAAGCATTGGGGATTGAACCCAGGGGTGCTTAGCCACTGAGCTACACCCCCAGCCTTTTTTATTTTTTATTTTAAGGCAGGCCCTTGCTAAGTTGCTTAGGGCCTTACAAAGTTTCTGAGGCTGGCTTTCAACCTGTGATCCTCCTGCCTCAGGCTCCTGAGTTGCTGGGATTACAGATGTGCCCCACCATGCCCAGCTTCCTCATTGCATCTTATTTTATAGGTAGAATATTTTCTGGGATGTATCTGGAGTTATTAATCAGGGTTTTCTTCAAAATTCTCTCCGTATCCTGATTTAAGTTGTTTCTTCCCTATTTTTGCAGGTATTTGTTTATTGGTTGCTGGTTTTCATCACACATCTGGCCATCCTTGGTGGTTGGCACGGATTCCCCTGCCACAGGGTGTTTAGGTCTGTTTCCCTGCTGGGGTGGGGAGGACAGATTCCTGAGCAGGCCCCGTCTAGGATGCGACATCTACCTGGCAGCCCTGGTTGTCTTCAGGCAGTGTATTGAGAGCCCCAAGAGAAGCCTTGCCAGGCACTCTTTTCCGTCCCTTTCACTCTGTCATCTTCTGTGTCCAAGAAATTTATGGAGGCCTTTCATCTGCATGGATGCCATTCTCTTTGCATATGGGCATTTATTCCTTGTCCCCCTTCACTACCCTGTTAATAGGATCATGCGAGAGGGGAATGAATGGAAAGAAAATGCACTTACCAGGCCATTTTAGACAAATGAACCTTTTAAGCATCCTTTTCCACACACTTCAAAAAGATCACTGTAGAAATTTAAGAAAAAATATAAACAATCCAATAAAAAAAATCTCTTCTTCCATCACCCAGAAATAACATTGTTGACATTGAGAAACACATTCTAGCTCCTTCTATGCTTCTCTCTGTTCCTTCACAGCAATGGGACCCTAACATATGTTTTCTCTCTAACATGCCTCTTAAAACTAAACAATAGCTTTAAATATCTTTGCATGTCACAGCATATCCCCGACAATATTCCAGACCTGGTATTTGTTGAGACATTTATTTAGGCAACCTTTTATTTTTAGACGTTAGGTTGTTTCTAATCTTCACTCCAAACACGTGTTTATAAATTTTGTACTAAAGCTTTACTCATATCCTCGACTAATTTACTTTGGATAAAATCCTAGTGGTACTGATCCTGGGTCAAAGTATATGCAGGCCCCAGCCTTGGTCCAACATATAGAGTTCTCTTTGACATAGCTCCACTGTAACTCTCTACCCTAAGCTTTGACTTCACTCTGCTTCACTTGGATTCCATGAAGCATTTCAGCAGAAGCAAGTGAAAGCTTAATTTTCAGAGTTAGACTGTGACCGAATCCTACTCTTGCCACTTAGTAAACGTGACCTAGTCTTTTTTAATGACCCCATTCGAGGACTTTTCTATAAAATGAGGAAATAATTCTTGACCTTTCTGAAGTGATTGTTTTGAGGATTACACAAGACAAAAATACATGTAAGGCACTTATCACAGGCCCTGTCAGGTTGGGAGTGTTCATAAATCCAGAATGACAGTGTGGGATCCTTATTGACCCTAAGCCCATTCAACCCCTCTTTTTAGGTCACACTGGAGGTGCACCCTCCACCCCTGTGAGGTTTCCTGGCCCACTTCATTGAGTTTCCGAGTGCTATTGCCTGGGCCCTCATTCCATGTTCAGAACACACCATTTTGTTGTTTTCACATAGGTGAAGAGACAACATCCTTGACTGCCGACTCAGCTGTTGGTCCTTCACTGTAATGGATCAATTCATTTTCATCAGTGTTCTTGGGGTCTATAGGTGATAAGGAAAAGATGGTACCATGTTGGCAGCATCAGGATTGGTTTTTGGAGTTTGTTTAGAGCCCTCTGGTAGCTCAGGAGCTTTGAACATGGTCTCTGGTCCTAACTATTAGAGGTATCTGACCCCAAGGATGCTTGAATCCCTAGTGTAATCAGTAGGCATCCGAGGCAAGGAAATCTGCCAGACAGAGGTCTGCCAGGCCTTTTGCTGCTGCTGAGCCACTCCAGGGCATTGTCCCAGCTGGAAAGGCAGGGCTCAGCATGCAGTACAGGGACCTTTGTGTGACTTGCAAGACACCTCCCTCACCCTCAATCCTTTGTACTGGGCAATGAGATGCCTTTGTAGCTGGAGGAGATTTCCTCCTGAGTGTCACTCAACCACAAAGGTCTCTTTCATGGCCACGCAGATGCCTCCCCAGTTGCCAGGGGAGATTGAGAAGAGGCCTATTTGTGAAGCTGCACAAATAGGGAAGGCTTGATGTGGGGGAGCCTCCAGGACAGGGCCCTGGAGGAGAGGAAGGGCAGCCCTGGGGAAGGTGATTCGTGGAATGCACTGCATCACCAGGGGGCCCACCCCTGTCTGGGTGTCTTTTAGGAGTCATGGCCGGCTTCAACATGGGAGGCGACCTCAGGGATCCGGCTGCCAGTGTCCCCCTGGGCTCCCTAGCAGCTGTTGGCATCTCGTAAGTTTCCCTCCTGGCAATCAGTCTAAGCTGGAGAGTGGGAGAGAAAACCCCAGGCAAAAGGGGGGATTGCCCCTTTTGTTCTGGGAGTGCCCCAACTGTGACCAATCTATTTCATATGCCGATCCTCCTTTTAATACTCGCTGGGCTGGAAAATTCACGTCTGGTGGGCTCAGACACTGCCCTTGCATATCCAACCCGCCTGGGAATGCTGGGAGGAGGGGGGTCATTAATGCAGAGCACAGGCCAAAGCCTTTCATTCCTTTTTCCTCAGCTTCTCACCCTTGCCCCTGCCCCTTCCTCACCCTCATTTTGAACTTGGGTTTTTTTTTTTAAACCATTGAATTTTCAGACCATTGGCAGGAACATACACATGAAGAGCTTCACAATCAGACAGATTAGGGCTTGTATCCCAGTTTTCTGTGGCCAATTTGCTGTAAGACTTTGGACAATTCACTTCGCTCCCTGAGCTTCCATTTCCTTTTCTATAAGACAAGGATAATGATAAATTTGTGCCTTATGAACTGAGGAGGAGATACCATATTGAAAGCCACCTAGTAGAAGCTCAGAGATCAGCTCGGTTGTCAGGCTTCTGGAGTTTTAGTTTTCATTGTGCCACCCACACTAGCAGGCTGGATGACCTTGAGTCTGTTTCTGATCTTCCAGAATCTCCTTTTTCTCTCAGGACCAAGAAGGAAGCTTCACTGGGGAGATGTAAAAACAAACAAATAAACAAACAATGAGATCATAGACATGACCATGACTTGAGAACACTTTTATTACTTTAACTATGATACTTAAATAATATTTATATATCTATTTCAGAAACACCAAATCTGCTCTTAGCTTATTGCTGTAGCACTGTTTCTACCGGCCAGGCACAGGGTATCAGGCCATAATGCAAAATAAGGCAACAACATTGGGAAGATAATCATGACACTAGGGAGAAAGTTGATGATGGGGAGAAAAGAAATAGGCTTCTACATGAGAACGCTGTCTTGGTTTTGGTCACAGCTAGGAGGCCCAGGAGGAACCTTTGGCCTGTCCTCTCAGTGCCCAGATGGGTGAGGAACCCTCAGGGACCGTGTGACCTATTCAGGGTTACAGGGTGTCTTGGGGCAGGGCCAGGCTACGTTCTGCATTTTCACACTTGGCTTCCCAGCCTGTTATTTGTGACTAGAGACCAGCAGACCTCAATGTCCTCTGCCCAGGAGGACGGGGTGTGGGGCCTTGGGTCAACCCTGACCTGCATTCAGGCAGCCTAGAGGCCAGCTGGGCCTCCCACCTCTACATCCTCAATACCCCTTTTGTTTTTCTTCTTTAATGTAAGAAAGAAACAAAACATTGACACTTTTTTTAAATATATATATATATATATATATATATATATATATATATATATATATATATATATATATATATATATGAAATGTGCTAGAGAAGAAACAGCACAAAAAGACCCCACCAGGCCAACTTCGTGACTGCCCTTTCTCTTTCATTTCAAGACAGATTCCCATAGGAAGCAAAGGTTGAGCAGTTTGGCAAGGGTGAGGGGTGGGGGTGGTGTTGGGATGGGGCTGGGCAGGTCGGATGGCAGCTCCCCTCTGCTCTCGGGTTTCACAGGTGGTTTCTGTACATCGTCTTCACCTTCCTGCTGGGCGCCATCTGCACCCGAGAGGCCCTTCGCTATAACTTCCTGATAGCTGAAAAGGTGGGTGAGTCCTACCCAAAGGCCTTGGTCTGTTGGGTCATTTATTTGTTCCCATCAACAAATCGTGGCCTCTCCCTTGCAATTCTATCTTGGGAATTCATGTAGACTTGACTCCAGGGCTGAAGTGTTGGGGAGTCGGAAATGATGGAGAAGGTGCAGGTTCTGCTCATAGATCCCATGAAACAGATCATAGTACCCAGAGAGACACACAAGTGCACATGGCTAGATAACGGAGACATTTCTTCATGTTGAAAATCAGGACAGAGGGCTGGGGCTGTAGCTTAGCAGCAGAGCGCTGGCCTTGTATGCATGAGGCACTGGGTTCGATCCTCAGCACCACATAAAAATAAACAAGTAAAATAAAGGCATTCTGTCATTTGCAACTACAAAAAAAAAATTAAAAAGAAAGAAAAGAAAATCAGGACGGAAATAGAAGAATCTGGTTGCTCCAAATCCCCAGCTCAGCAAGCTGCACTGAGCTCTTTTTTGCTAAGAGTTTCACCTTCCATCATGAATAGAAAGCTGCTCACAAGCAGCAAGGTGGGTGCTGAGGGACAGGGACAGAAGGGAGGCCGAGGAGATGAGGAGCCCAGTGCTAGGAGGGCCTGACAGGGAAGCAGGGCAGGACCCTCACCCTCCGGACTTTCCCTAGAATCTCAGAAGTCTGGGTTGATTTGGCTGCAATGTCTTTGTTTCTGGGGCACACACTCTGCCAGGAGAAGATTAGCAAATTCCTTGTGTTCCATAGCCTTGTTTGCATGCTGATGCTCATGTGACATCAAGGACATTTATTTGGCATCATTAAAACCCACGAGAATATGATTTCCAGACATATTCCTGAAAATTCCCCTGAAATTCCTACTTCTCCTCAAGTTCCTGGAGGATCTATGGATCCTGAGATTCCCATCATTTTCCCAGAAGTGTAGTCAGGGAGTTTTTCTCGTGGTTAACTCTTGAGTGTTGCCACTTATGTTTGAGAAGAGAGTACCTTCCTTTCTTGGTGTGAAGCTTTGCAAGGCAGCTGATCTTCAGAGAGGGCGAGGAGACTCTGAACTGACTTTTTAGAACTGCACTTGGGCTTAGTTTCCACCTTAGCACAGGTTTCTTTTTAGAGCATGTAGACGTTGAAGTAAAGGTGATATTTGTTTTCAGGGATCTTGACCTTAGTATGAAAGCAGGTTTTGAAAGGGGAAGCAGTTCAGGCAGAGGAAGAGCTGACACCCACCTTGTAGCACCCAAGGCCTCGGGCCCCCTGCATACAAGATTTGCTCTGAGGGAAAGAATCTGTGTCAATTATGTTTATCTGACGCACCTTCCATCTGGAGTTTCACCTCCAAAGGCCTTTTCTCCAGTGGTAAAATGAAAAGCATGGCCTGCATTAAGGAATTGAAGGGAACAGCTGAAGGGGAGGGATTGTTTGACCAGGGAGAACTGCTTGCTGTTCATCTGCAACTTGACAGTGGCTGGCTAGCCCTGCTGGCTTCTAAAGCTTGTTCCTTTCTAGTGGATTCCTTCCCAGAGCTCCTTTCAACTATTAGTGACTCGGATCTGGATAGAAAGAGATGAATTTTCATCTGGTTTGACATTCCTTCCCCATCTTTGCAGGGAAAGCTCAGAATGTATGTGTGAGGGTGGGCAGCTTCCTATCCAAGGAAGGCCATGAGAGGAATAGAACAAAAGCATCTCCAAAGAGAGCATGTTAGAGCCTTTGTGGGCAGAAACCCACACCCTATAATAGACACTTGAAGTGAGGGAACTTTCTTTGGAATGTCAACTGTCCCAATGGGTGAGACAGGTGGGCACCCCTTAGCTGGTTGGCAGTACCTGCTACACCGGGCCATGCCATAATCCATGGGACTGTATCTATTAAGCATAAGCTGAGGTGGACAGTGGAGATTTAAGTCCTGGAGAGGAAGAAAGACCATTTCCTGGAATAGGTGACTGTAAAAACTGTGATGAAAAAAAGTGACTATTCTTGCTTCTCAGTCATGAACAGGGATTGATGCAGCAAGAAAGTGAACAGTAATAGAACAATCAGGACAACTCCAAACAACCACACACGGGTGCTCTGCTGCTCCGCCAGCCACTCCACATGAGGATTACATTTCTCCTTTCCTGCTCTCCAGTGTCCCTCGTTGGCTCTGCAGTGGCAGGTCCTACACTCCGACAGGAAGCTGGGCCACAGATGACTTTACTAACAGTCCCTGGAGGGCAGAGCCTGTAGATGAGAGTGTGAAACCTGCAGAGGTGGGGAGGTGCAGGGGTAGTTGCTTTACTAGACACAACCCAGTGCCCTGATGCAGTTTTAATAACTGCTCGGCTCAGGTTCACATTTAGCTATGGCCTAGGTTCTGAGCCAGCATCCCTGAGTTTTCCTGAGCCCTGAAGAAGGAAGACTGCATCTGTCTGGTGCCGTATCACCTTCAGTCATGGACACCTGCCAGCCTCAACACACTGCCCCTGGTGCTGGTTCACATGAATCTCCTCCATGCATGTCTGTCTCTTTCTCTTGGGTGTTTTTTGCCAGAACACCTCTATTCAATGGCTGCAGGCTGCCTGGATTCCTTTCCACTGATCTGCAGCTGATCAGATAATCTGATCCTTCCTGGGTTTCTTAAAACTTTTCAGATCTCTCCTCCAACCCCTTCCTTCCTTTTTTTTTTTTTTTTTTTTTTAATACCAGCGATTGAACCCAGGGGCACTTAACCACCAAGCCCTTTTCATGTTTTATTTAGAGACAGTGTCTCACTGAGTTTCTCAGACCTCACTAAATTGTTGAGGCTGGCTCTGAACTCGTGATTCTCCTGCCTCAGCCTCCAGAGCCGCTGGGATTACAGGCATGCACCACCACGCCCAGCTGGGATCTATTTCTAATTATTTGGCTTCCCACCCAAAAGAAACCCAATTTCTCCAAGTCTTTTTACTCTTTATCCCCACCCCAGAGGAACTCTTCCCTTCTCCTGGGTGTCAAGTCTCAGTAACGTCATGCTTTCTTATGAACTTTAACTCCTCTCCACACTCCTTTTGGGGATATCTTTACAGATAGAGATATTTGTTTTAGGGAGACTTCCTCTCTCTCCTCAATAAATTCACCATGTTTAATTGAATAGAAAAAGCTAAAATAGTCAATACCAATATTATTCAGTGATAGAGAAAGAAATTTTATAAAGAACAGTTTTAGAATTAAATAATCAATGTTTCCAAATAAACCTAAATATAGTCCAGGAAATGGATGTTTATTACAAATTAAAAAGCCTAAGTATCTTAGGAACCCTTGGACATGCTAACTAGCATAATAAGAGCAAATTAAGTAGGAATAATACCCCCAAAGTATCTTTGTAAAAATTGGAATCCCCCAGTGAACTCTAACCGTTCTGGATTTGGCAGTCATGGCTTCACAGGCTCAAGAGGGACCTTGAAAGCCCATGGGAAGGTAGGGCTGGGACAGAGCTGGTGGATGGTGAGTGGTCCGAGTCCTCTGCTCAGTATCTGCCACCAGCCCAGCCTGACTGTCCTCTGTTCTCATCATGGACACAGTGCTGCCTCTCAGGAAGTGAAGCAGACTTTGCCTCTTAATGGAAAAATGGCTCTCAAGTGAGAGATAAAACTGGACTGAAAGTTGCAGCATTGGGTTAATCTGTGGAGTAAGGAGAGAATTAGAAAACTCATGACTCTGTGGGAACATGATATGGGAGAAAACCCAGGGGCTATTAAGACATTGCCTTATTAATGCATTTGGGCTTGTAAGGGTTTCAGGATGTCACTCACCCTCAGCAACATCAAGGGGCCCAGGGACAAGATGAAGCAGAACAAGTCCCTTGCAAATGACTTTAAACCAAGAGAAGAGAGCAGCAGTGAATTGGTAGAATCCCTCAGTGGCTGAAACTTAGAATGGGACCTGAAATAAAAAAACTACAGCAGAAAGATATAATTATTTATTTTCATGAGTAGTTAACTGAACAAAGAATTTAGGGTAGTTCACACCTGTGTACTATTTTGAAAAGATAGCTTTTTCTGACAATGCAAACAGGCATATGACACAGGAACATCATTAAAAAAAACTATTGACACACATCTACTCAAATAAATTTTCACTTCCACCTCTACTAGCGTTTTTACCAAACTTTCAATACAATATGAAGAGAAAATGATTGAGTTCAGCAAGGGCTGAGAACAAAGCCGCATGACTTACTACTGTAGCTCTAATGCCTGGTCCTGTGCCTAACACCATGCCAGAAATATAACCATCCTCATAAAATTCTTCCTAAATGGATGGATGACAGAATAGCAGAATTGGATTCTGGTGGGAGAGAGATAGAATGGATTTTTAAAAAATAATTTCTCTATGTGTGTGTGGACTAATATTTCACGTATTTTTCAGGAAAGAGACTGAATAATAGTTTTATATCTAAAAGTGGTCAGTGAACAGGCCATTCTAAACACAACTGACAAACTGAACATAAAAAATGCAATGTATTTGGACACTCCCCCATCTGTCCCCAGCCCCAAGGGTTCTGGAGGAATCCCAGGGTGTGTCTCTGGATGACTAGCCAAAGATGAAGTCACCAGTATCACACACTCGCAGAGTTGGAGACTCAGAGAGTTTCTGAGGTCAACCCAACATAGAAGGATGCCGACTGGGGAGTCTCATTCCCATTTGAAGTAAGAGGACAGGCTTTTTTTTTTTCTTTTTTTGGTGGTGCTGGGGACGGAACCTAGGGCTTTGTGCGTGTGGCAAACACTATACCAACTGAGCTATATCCCCTGTATATATACAGGCTTTAAATGAAAATAAATAAATAACATAACATAACATAAATATGTATTCAGCCCTCTATGTTCCCAGGTCCCACGCCCATGTATTAACTAGCCTGGATCAAAAAACATTCAGAAAAAGCATTGCATCTGTCCTGAAGATGGACAGATATTTCTCTAAACAATATAGGATAACGTCTATTTACCTAGCACTTACACTGCATTTAGGCAGTGTATTGGATCATATGAATCTTTCACATTTTATTAAAGTAGGTGGGAGAATGTGTGTAGGTTTATGTAAATACCCTGCCATTTTATATAAGACACTGGAGAATCCATGGATATTTTTAAAGTTGTAGATAGACAAAAGACCTTTATTTTATTTATTTATTTTTTATGTGGGGCTGAGGATTGAACCCAGTGCCTCACATGTGCTAGGCAAGTGCTCTACCACTGAGCTACAACCCCAGCCCATCCATAAAGTTTTAGTATCCTAGGTGTTGTGTAACTAATCCCCATGGATACCAGGGAGAACTGTATAGCCTTTCAGGTAAGAAACAGTCAAATTTATTCAAGGAGATACCCTGCCTGCCTCTCTGGAAAAAGTCTATAAAGGCAAAAGCAATAGATATGATGTACTGTGCCCAGAGGTCCTTCACACTGGCTGCACATCAGAATCACCTCAAAGGCTTTTTAAAAATCAACAAACTATGTCCCATTCAATACTAATTAAATCAGAACCTCTGGGGTGATTCTTATGTAAAGCCAGAGTGGAGAAATACTGAGTTAAATTTTCAAAATGCTTTTGATAGAATTTCATCATAGAGTCTTTTTTTTTTTTTTAACCAGTCAACACAGGATGCATTTGGTAGAGAAGACAGAAACAAAGGTCACAGATGAATGATCACATCTCAGAGGGGATGGAGGATTAATCACAGGACCAGTTTATCTAACAGTTTTGTAAGGTATCAAGGGCACAGATCACATAAGTCATGTGCCTCATTAATTCAGCTGCTGAGCCCTGTTTGCCAGACTCTGTGATAGGTGCTGAGCAGAGGGGGAAAAGATACATGATTCATTTCTACCCTTAAGGAGCTCCTGGTGCACTGGCAAGGCAAACCGTGAGCCTCATTACCTATCCTGCAGGGGGAAAAAATAACAAAATGCCATCAGAGCACACAAAGTGATGGGAAACATCAGATGACATCAATTTCATGTAATAATAAAATGGTAAATGAACGAGAGGGAGAAAAACCCAAGAAACCCATGACATTGAAGAAGAGAGGTGAGATTTACTGGGGATAAGAATGGCATAATACATTTAGGGAAGGGCAATCCAACTGAATTAAAGACAGGATGTTGCTCTGTAGTGGACTTTAGTTGTGTCTGGCAAGCCTCTGACTTCCATGACCATTTGGGAGTTATTCTACCTATGCATGGTCTTGAAGGGTGTGAGACCCCATTCAAAAGCCCAAAGAACAAGACTTTCTCTTGCCTGTCCCTTGACAGTCCTGGTAGGGCAAATGACCAAGGCTGGGCATTGGATGCTCCAAGTGTACCAATGAGAGAAAGATAAAGACTTGGTGAGAGGTCATCTGCAGGATGGCAGGGGTGCGGGTAGCATGCTGGCCAAACTCTTCCTGGTGAGGAGTTGGAGGAACTGGAGTGCCTTCAAGCTTGGGTCCTGCCTTTCTCCAAGGTTGATCTTTTGGCCTCCTGATGATTCTATGAACCTCCAGTGCCCTACAAATATATTCATTTTTTTTACAGTTCTTTTTTCCAATCAAAAATCCTGACTGATGAATTCATCAGTCAGATTACTCTAGTGATCATTTATGAGCCAGGAAATAAGTCTAGCCAAGGGCTTATGTGCAATGTAATTTGACAACACAGATCTGGTGCACTGCAGAAGCAAGGAAGTAAAAAAGTAGGGCATGGAGATCCTTCATCAAGAGGGGTCTAAGTGACAAAGCTGAAAATTGTCTCTAACCCATCCGTAACAGTTGACAAAGAGGCACTTGAATACACAGTTCCGACCACTGTGCCTACAGTGAGGTAGGATGGAGAGGGTATCACAAATAATTAAGAAAACTGAGAGGCTCCCTGTAGGCATGAAGGAATCCAGCTCAGGAGGGTTAGAGGTTCAGGATAGTGTGGGACACAGCTGCAGGGCAGGCAGCACTGATCTTTTGCAAGTTGACGCCAAGGAGAACAGCTCTGCTGTCTCCTGTTCTATCTGTTGGTGCCTTTGGGCCATATTGGTCATGGGTATCATTCATTCATCATTTATCTGTATATCTGTGTTGGGCACCATGAACACAAGGGTGAACAAGACAGAAGCCCTACCTAAAGGAAGCCTGCAGGTTGGTGAAGACAATGATGGACACTATTCTATCATTATGTTGAGGTGCCATGGGGCACTGAGGAACAACCACTGTTGTGAGGGGATTTGAGGATGGCCTCTTGAAGCGGGGAGGTTGTTCTGAGTTTTGATGCTCAATTAGGAGTTCAATAGACAGACTGGATAGATTAAGGGATGCGGACAGAGGGTTCCAGCAGGCAGAGAAATCATGCTGACCAATGATTTTATGTGCAGGGTAGGGAGGAAGAGGGCACAGACAGTGCAGGGCCTGTGTATCAAGCCATTGATATGTTTACAGCAGGGTCATTAGGATCAGATTTGAGGTTAGAGAGGTAACTCTAACCTCTAACCCTAGGTGGAGGCCTAGGGGATGATTTAGAAAGAAAATCTTTAGAGGCAGGAGGCCACCTGGCATTGTAGTGGCTAGTACTTCTCCAAAATGTGATTCCCAGTCCACCAACATCAGTATCACCTAGGAACCTGCTGGAAATTCATATTCTCAAGCTCACTTCACACCTATTGAAAAACTCTAAGGGTGAGGACAGAAATCTGTGTTTTGATGAGCCCTGTGGATAAGTGTGACTCCTGTTCAATTTGAGAGCCACTGTGTCATCCCTATAAGATGTGACGGTAGACTCACTTGAGATAGTGGAATGAGGTGGAGTGGGGCTAGGAAAGGGAATTTTAACTCAAAGGCTGAATCTATAGTGTATAATTAGGTGAGTGTGGGTGGGCGAGTGCCAGGGGAAACAGGGTCTGGCAGTGAATGATTATATGAGTCAGCTTTCATTTACTGTAACAAAATATCTGAGACAATTCTTTGAAGAGAAAAGGTTTATTTTGGCATATGGTTTTAGAGGTTCTAGTCCACCATCTGGTGGATCCATCCATTGCTTTGGGCCTCTGGTAGGGATGCCAGATGGTGAGGACAGGGAGTATGTGGTGGAACAAAACTGCTTGCAGCTAAAAAAGCAAAAGAGAGAAGAGGGGACTGGGGTTTCACAATCCCCTTTGAGGGTAAGCCCCCATGACCAAAGGACTTTCCACTAGGTCCCACTCTTAAAGGTCCCACTACCTTCCCAAAGGGCCACCCTGGTGTCCTGCACCTTCAACACATGGACCTTTGAGAAATTTCAGTATCCAAAATTTCTATATCTATAGCAATGACAAAACTGCTTTCACACACAGGTGTCCCTAGTGGGCTTCCTATTCCTTCTGGGCTTATACATCTCGTCCCTGGCCTCCTGTATGGGAGGACTCTATGGAGCTCCCCGGATCCTGCAGTGCATTGCCCAGGAGAAAGTGATTCCTGCACTCGCCTGTCTGGGACAAGGGGTGAGTGATCCTTTTTATTGAGAAACAGATTTTTCTGTTAACCCAATGTTGACTCATAAATTGCTTAAGTTTTTCTGATTACAGCCTCTGGTCAAGTTCTCTAGGGTACGACAAATGAGAGTGCAGAGGTCATTTCTCTCAGCTCTGTCCTCTGGCTGGCTTCGGCTGGAACCAATTAGATGAACATCTTAAATGTCACCGCCACATGGCTCCTTAACTCCAACATAGCTAACTAACTAGTCATAGTAGCTTGGGCCCTAGCAGCAGGGAAGAGAATTTCTCACACCTCTGGATTCTGGGCTGTCTTTAGTATCATGACCCAAACCTTGACTGACACAGAGTAGTTTGGTTGAGTCATAGTTAGGATGATCAAAAGAAATGTTCCTAAAACCTAGGGGAATGACAAAAGAAAAATAGACATGGAGAATCCCCATGATCTGCAAGTTTTAGCTTGTTTTTGTCTTGGGGGGATATCCCAGCCTCTGTGTTGGGAGGGCACATGAAAATCAGCTGTAATTTCCTCCTTGACCTTCATCTGCTTCTTGTCAGCATGGCCGGGAGGACAGGTAACTGTCGTCTCCACTACATTCCATGTGTGATAGTGATATGACTTTTATTTTATTTTTCTTCCACTTCATTTACTTTTTATGAGGTGAAATGAACACAGGGTTTAAAACTAAAAGTCGAAAGTATACATTAAGAATTTTTGCTCCTATGTTGAGTTTTTCTCTTTCCCATAGCCGCATCCTATAGTCACTGCTTTTCTTAGTTTTTTTTTTTAATTTTCTCTTTCCACACTTTTTATTGGTATATTGTAGTTGTACATAATGATGGGATTTGTTCTATTTATTTATTTTTATTTATTTTCAAGTAGGCTGCTTTTTTACATATTATATACAAATGGAGCCCATTTGTCATTCCTCTGGCTGTACATGGTGCGCTGGCACTCCAGTAGTATAAGCATACATGTATATAGGGCGATAATGTCTGCTCATTCTACAGTCCTTCCCATCCCCACAGCCCCACCCCTCCCCCACTCCCCTCTATACAAACCAAAGTTCCTTCAGTCTTCCCTATCCCCCTGGGGCCCCACTATGGATCAGCATCCTCTTATCAGAGAAAAATTTGACTTTTGGTTTTTTGGGATTGGCTTATTTTACTTAGCATGATATTCTCTAATTCCATCCATTTACCTGCAAATGCTATGATTTCATTTTTCTTTAAGGCTGAGTGATATTCATTGTGTGTATGTACCACATTTTCTTTATCCATTCATCTGTTGAAGGGCATCCATAGTTTAGCTGTTGTGCTTTGAGCTGCTATAAACATTGATGTGGCTGTGTCACCTTAGTATGCTGATTTTAAGTCCTTTGGATATAAACCGAGGAGTGGGATAGCTGGGTCAGTGGTGGATCCATTCCACATCTTCTGAGATATCTCCATACTGCTTTCCATAGCTGTTGCACCTAATGATGGGATTTGGTGTTACACAATCATACATGCATGCAAAGTAACAATCTAATTTGACTCCCCAGTACTTCCCCCTTCCTTTCCTGCCTCACACCCCTTGGTTCCTTTCCTCTATTCTAATGATCTCCTTTTGATTTTCATGAGATTCCCCCCACCCCTTTCATTTCCTTTTTCCTTTCTAGCTTCCACATAAGAAAGTATATGACCCTTGACCTTCTGAGTTTGGCTTATTTCACTTAACATACTGATCTCTAGTTCTATCCATCTTCCTGCAAATGCACAATTTCATTTTCTTTATGGCTGAATAAAACTACTGTGTGTGTATACTACATTTTCCTTATCCATTCATCATCCATTGATGGATACCCAGGATGGTTCCATAATTTGGCTATTGTGAATTGTCTACTATAAACGTGGGTATACATGTATCACTATAGTATGATGATTTTAATTCTTTAAGATCAATATCAAGGAGTGGTATAGCTGGGTTATATGGTAGTTCCATGCCTAGTTTTTTGAGGAAATTTCATACTGATTTCCATAGAGATTGTACTAATTTACAATCTCACCAACAGTGTTCTTTTTTCTCCACATCCTCTTCAGCATTTATTATTGTTTGTATTTTTGGGGGGAGGAGAGGCAGCAGGGATCCAACTCAGGAGTGCCTAACCACTGAGCCACATCCCCAGCCCTTTTATATTTTGAGACAGGGTCTCCTTAAGTTGCATAGAGCCTCACTAAGTTGTTGAGACTGGTTTATGAACTTGTGACCCTCTGCCTCAACCTCCCAAGTTGCTGGTATTACAGGCCTGCACCACCATGCCCAACTTCTTTTCTCAGTTTTTTTTTTTAAAGAGAGAGAGAGAGAGAGAGAGAGAGAGAGAGAGAGAGAGAGAGAGAATTTTTTTTTAATATTTATTTTTTAGTTTTTGGCGGACACAACATCTTTGTTTGTATGTGGTGCTGAGGATCGAACCCAGGCCGCACGCATGCAAGGCGAGCACGCTACTGCTTGAGCCACATCCCCAGCCCTCTCAGTTTTTTTAATGATTTTTTTTCTTTTCCAAAAGATAGTGTTCTCTGTACATTGTTCTGTACCTTGCACATTGTTCTGTACCTTGCTTATTTTTTTTTTCACTTTATGTACCTAGGAATCTTTTTTAAAAAAATACAGACACAGAGAGAACTTTTTTTTCTTTTTCCATCATGAGGGTATGCCATAGTTTAATCAGTTCTCTATAGACTGATACTTGAGTGGCTTCTAGTAAACAGTGTTGCAATGAATAATTCTTGCCTCTGTGTGTGTGTGTGTGTGTGGTTTTGCATATGTGGTTAAATTTTCATAAGTAGAATTGCTGGGTCAAAGGGTAAATGCATTTTTTAATTTTAATAGATCTTGCCAACATACCTACCATGGGATGTTTATCATTTTGCATTTTTTGTTTATTTGTTTGTTTCAGTTCTGGAGATTGAACCCAGGGATGCTCTATCACTAAGATGCATCTTTAGCCTTTTTAATTAATTAATTTAAAAAAATTAAGACAGGGTCTCTCTAAGTTGCTGAGTTTGGCCTCAAACTTGTGATTCTCCTGCCTCAGCCTCCCAAGTCACTGGGATCACAGCTATGTGTCACCAGCTCATTTTGTACTTCCACCAGCAGTGGGTGAGAGCCAGTACCGCTCTTAGACTCAAGCCAAAATATCCTACTTTATAAGACTTTTATAAGTCTCTGCTTCTTTGTAAGGCCAAAGGGACCTGCCCACCTGGATCCCATGTCCCTGTTCTAGACCATGTCCAGGTGTGGTGTCCCTAGAATTCCTTGCCCAGATGGCCCCCTGCCAATTTCTAGGATCCGCAAGGGCCTCTTCTTTTCTAGGGCCCAAGGTGTGGGCAGAGGGTCCACATATACATGTGAGGCTCCCCTGGTATGGTCTGAGAAGAGAAGCTGGTGGGCTCTGAGCTGGTGTTCACACATGGCCATCTTTCAGTGAGGAAGTCTGAGTAATGCAAAAATTCTGAACTTGAACCTGACCTTTCTTCTCATGTTTGCTTAGGAGGGACATTAGAACATATTTAGTTTAACAGGTTGTTAGTGAGGCTCAGAGTTGTAAATATTTAGATGTTGGGTGTATAGAACCCCATTTGCGCTCTTGCCTTGGGCAAAAAACACAGTTTAACAAGGATTCTTCCCATAGCTCATTGCCAAATGTGCATTTTTGCCAATCTTATAGTGAGAAATGGTATGTTAGGAGACTGATGTTTGCATTCCTTTAATCTGAGCGAGGTTGAATATCCTTTCCTCTGTTTAAAAGCTATTTGTATTTTTTTTCTGTGTTTCATTGGTCATTTTCTTCTTAAATGTTAAGGGGTCTTTCCTTGTTAGGAAGATTAACTGTGCTATGTATTACAAATGTTTCTCCTAGTTCTCCTTCTTTTAATATATATTTTTTTAATTTTTGGCAAAGCTGAGGTTCAAACTTGGGCCCTTGTGCATGCTAAGCAAGAGCTGTACCACCAAGCCACACCTCCAGCCCCTTGCAAAAGCTTTTTTTATATAGGATTAAATCATATTAGCTTATTTTCTTTTTTAATGGAGGAAGAGTAGCAATTTACATTTTTGGAGCTATATTCAACATACAAAAAAAAAAAAAAGCATAAACCCAGTATAAACTGTTTCTAGAACAACTATGAAGTGAACACCCTGTAGCCTCCACCCAGGAACCCTGCCAGCATTGTTCCTCCCTCCCTCGTCACAGCCCTTCCCTCTCACTGCTATGGCCAATGTTGATAATAATTTCCTTGCTTCCTTTAGGGTTTTTCTTGGGGATCAGCAAACTTTTTCTGCAGCACTTGAGGTGCTGCAGGACATGTGGTCATAGTCACCACTAATCAGCGGTGCTGTTGTAGCTCAAAAGTAGCCACAGATAATACCTAATACTTTATTTATGGACCTAAATTTGAATTTCATGTAATTCTCACATATCACACAATGTTATTCTTCTTTTGACTTTTTCCACCCCCCCAACTGTTTAAAACTGTAAAACCATTCTTAGCTCATAGCATACATCAACAGGCAGGGCTAAATTTGGCCTCGGGGTCATAGTTTGCAACCCCTGTCTTGTTTCCTGTGTATGCATCTCTAAACACAAATTTGCCTGTTTTTGAACTTTAAATACAGGTTGAGCGTCCCTTATCTTAAATGCTTTGGTCCAGAAGTGTTTCAGATTTTTTTTTTCTGGACTTTGGAATATTTGCATATATGTAATGAGATAGCTTTGGGGTGGGCCTGTAGACACAAAATTCATTTATGTTTCATATATATCTGTGCACATAGTCTGGAGGCAGTTATAATTTTATGCACAAGATGAAATTTCATGGTATGGAATTTTGCACTTGTAGTATCATAACAGCACTCAAAAAATTTCAGAGACGTAGAATTTTTGCATTTGGGATGATCAGTCTGTAAATGGAGAGAGAGAGAGAGAGAGAGAGAGAGAGAGAGAGAGAGAGAATGTGTGTGTATTGTTTTGTGGCATGCTGTTTCCTCACTCACTGTTATGATCATGAGAGTCATCCTCAGTTTGCTTGTAGCAGCAGCTTAGTTGTTACTTGGGGGTATTATGGACAGTGCCATGAAGACTCTTGTACTAGCTGTAAATGTAGACTTCCTCCAAATTGTATTCCATTAGTGGAATTGCAAGGTGTGCATATATTTACTTATTAGATACCACCTCTCTCTCTCTCTCTTTTTTTTTTTGAAGTAGTTTACACCCTTATCAGCAGTAGATAAGAGTTCCCATTCTTCTGTAGTTTTGCCAGAACTTGATATCATGAAACTTTTACATTTTTACCAATCTGGTGGTATCTAGATGATATCTCACTGTGGTTTTAATTTATATTTCTCTAATTACTAGTGAGGTGGGGCTTGATTTCTCTCTCCCTCTCTCTTTATAGCACTGGGGATTAAATCCAGGAGTGCTCTGCCACTGAACTACATCCCCAGCCCTTTCATTATTTTTCTTTTTTGAGACAGTCCCACTACATTGCCTAGGTTGGCTTCCAATTTGTAGTCCTCCTGCCTCAGCCCTCTCCCCGCAGTAGCGAGAGGACTGTGGGTGTACACCACCTTGCCCAGCGGTGTTTCCTATGTTTAACGAGCATTTTTTTGTAAGGTACTTGTTCAAGTCTTTTACTTGTTTCTTTGTTTACTGGGCTGTGTTTTTCCATCTATCTTTCTATGTTCTAGATACCTTTTGTCAGTTATATGCATTACACATATATTTTCCATTCTGTGGCTTTTCTTTTCTTTTTTCTTTCTTTTTTTTTTCTTTTTTAAATATTTTTTGGTGAAGAGAAGTTCATGTTGGCCTATTTAATCAATTCAGAATCCACTCTTATCAAGGTCCTGGCCTGGAACACTAGCATTTTCTTCAGCTTACCCAAGACCCTCCTTTTAAAGTTCTTTAAGTTCCTGAGAATTTACTTTATTTTTGGTAGGTTTACTAGTAGAGCCTGCTAAACAGCTATAACAAATATACCCCAAAGTTTAATTCTCAAACACAGGAAAAGTATATCTTTATTACTTTTTTAATTAATTAATTTAGAATTGTACTCTAAAGGTCTGGGCAAGGAGTTTAGGTCAGCAGGGGCTCTGATCCTCAGACACTGGCAGATGGTAACCTGCCATCCTCAACCGTAGCCTCTGGGCTGGAGGAACATGTGAGGGAGACTCATAAGCCAGATCTGGAGATGGCTTACAGGGCTGCCCCCACCTTCCAGACTGCTAGCAGTGCAGGGGGCCTGTCCCCCTCTCCCACTCTCTCTGCTTCCTTGCCACCATGAGTTGTACAGCTTCCCCCTGCCACACCCTTCTCCCACGATGTCCTGCTTCACCTTGGGCTGAGAGCAATGGAGTCAACTGTGCGTGGACTGAGACCTCTGTTACTGTGAGCCAAAATAAACTTTTCCTCTGAGTTGTTACTGTCAGGTATTTTGGTCACAGCAACATGAAAGCTGACTGAAACACACCATGAGTGTGGGAGATGAACAGTCACATGGAGAGAAGTAACTGAGCCATTATGATTTTGGTTTCTATCATAAATTCTGAAGTGTTTGAAACTTTCTATCTGAAATTTCATAGTCCTGAATGTTATTTTTGTTTCTGCAGAAAGGGCCAAATAGGACACCTATAGCAGCCATCTGCCTGACCAGCTTGGTGACCATGGCTTTTGTCCTTGTGGGTCAGGTAAATGTTCTGGCACCCATCGTCACCATCAACTTCATGCTGACGTACATTGCAGTGGACTACTCTTACTTCTCCCTGTCTATGGGTCTCTGCAGCCTTCCTCAGGTGCCTGAGCCTGTGCTTAGGGAGACCTCAGAAGCTCTCCCCTGTTCTGAGCACCTGCTCTTAGAGAAGGCTCCCAGCTATGGCTCTGAGGGCTCTGCCCAAAGCCTCTTTGAGGGCACTCTACTACAATTCACCAAGGACATGGATCAGCTCCTCCAGCTAACCAGGAGGCAGGAGAGTAGCCATCCCAGGCCCGGAGACAGTGACAGGATCCCAGAGAGTCAGAAGAGGAAATGCAAGAAGGTCATCAAGAAGAACCTACAAGATAGCTTCCTCCTGAACCTCAAGTCCCCTACTTCCTTCCCTACTGAGGGCTCTGATGGGTTGCCTGCTGTGTCTGGGGAGTACCAAGAGTTCTACCAGAACAAGCTGACTTCCAGGAGTGAAGGGATTCTGCCTGGGGAAACACATGGGCAACAATTTGTCCCTGAGCCAAGCAACCAGCCTAGGGTGAGTGGAGAAGGTGAGTGCTTTGGAATCACACTGGGACCTCCTCCTATTTGAGAGTGACCACTGATTGCCTTGCTACCCAGCTTTCACAGTTTTTATAACTCTTGGTGGATTTGTTTGATATTTACTTTAGAATGTTATATTCAGGTACCAGCTGAATTACCTATAATTCAGATAGTGTAGTTAGTTTCAAACAAAAATTTATATCTACTCCTGTTTGTAAAGAGCTGGAAGCCAGGGCTAGTAATTGAATTGCAATTTCTTTTCACTCAAAAATCAGCTGAGATATAATGCCAATGTGAATGAAACCAATTTCTCCTTTCAAGAGAAGTGGAAATGTGTTGGAGTCAATACCCTGGCGAGGACCCAGTGTGAGTCTTTGGAAGATGAATCTTTCAAACCAGATATGACAGGATGGGGAGAAGGCAGATAAAGGAACACAGTTTTTCTTTGCTGTCTCAGACCTATAAGCACTGAGACACCAAGAGAGATTCTCAAGAAGCTTAGAGGACATGGGTAAGAGAGAACTCATAATGTTGGAGAACCTCCATAATCTAGGTGCTTTACGTCTTGCAATGGTTTGGAGCTGGAATATCCTCTAAAGGTCCATGTGCTAAAGGCTTGATCCCCAGCAAGGCATTGTTGGAACCTTTAAGTGGGATGGGCTAATGGGAGGTCTTTAGGTTACTGGAGGCTTGCTCTTGAAGGTGATTGTAGGACCCGTCCCCTCTCTTTGTTCTCTTTTGCTCCCTGGCTAGTATACATGCGTTTCACTGTACCATGTGCTCCTGCCATAATGTGCTACCCTCCACAGGCCCAAAGCAACTGGGCCAACGAATCATGGATTGGAACCTCCAAAACTGTGAGCTGAATAAACATTTTCTCTTTATAAGTGAATTTTCTCAAGTATTTGTTACAGTGATAGAAAACTGAGGAACACACTCCTATCGTTTCATGTAATATTATAGATATCAGCATTTTCTGTTTTACAAATGAAGATCGTAAGTCCTAGTGAGTTCACACAGAAAAGTCTCAGAGCTGATTCTTCGTACACTGAATGTCACTCCCAGTGTTCGAAGCTTATGTTCTTCCTTCTGTAGTACACCATCTCTTGAGATCTGTTTAGACAAGTGTGAGCAAGGAGGAGGAGGCAAAAGACAGAAGAATATGTCTAAAAACACATTGTCTTCTTCCATAAACCTGATTTCCTTTCTTTACCTCTAAATTGATGAGAAGGTTTTCATGGTAGGAATATTATTAAAAATTTTTAAGTTATTTTACTTTTATCAAATTAATAAGTATATAGATTAATAAGTAAATCATATTAAAATTAATATAATCATCCAGGTATGGTGATGCATGCCCATAATTCTAGCTATTAGGGCAGGGGGTTGAGGCAGGAGGATTGCAAATTTGGAGCCAGCCTCAACAACTTAGTGAGATCCTGTCCCAAAATTTAAAAAAATAAAAAGGATGGTGATATAACTGAGTAATAAACTGAGTAATAAACATGCTATCCTGACATGTGTGAGATGAAATCTCAGAGTAGTTTTGATTTGCATTTCCCTAATTGCTAATGATATTGAACACTTTTTCATGTATTTGTATTTCTTCTTTTGAGAAGTGTCTATTTAATTCTTTTTCCCATTTAATAAATGTCCCTGGGTTCAATCCCTAGTACCAAAAATAAACAAACTAACAAATTGATGTAATGAGAAATAGTAGTTCCCACTCTTGCATACCATCCCTTTTACCCTTCACTAGGGTAAAACCCCACTCCCAGACCAAAAAACTTGGGACTCAACCAAAAAGTGGCCTCCTCTGTTAACTTTCCTATTACTAAATAATATATTTATATTGCTACTTTAACCTGTGACAATGTCAGACATCATCTTTGGACTGACTTCCTGTGATGTAACCAAGGTCTTTTTCATGCCACTTTGACTTCTCATCTAATGCCTGCAATTTAGCTGTACCATAGTTGTATCTTAAATTAAGTGCTAGCATTCACATTATCATGACTAAATAAATATTGTTTAATTCTGAGCCATATATTGTATTGTGATCACGTTTCCTTTTTTATGTGACTCTTTCTGTTTCCTGGGGTTTATAATTATCTGTCTTTTTAAATTTTGGTTTTCTGTCATCATTGTTCTCTAAATGCTCTTGTAGATTTTTTAAATGCTTCACCTGTGCAGCGCAAGCGCTGTACCACTGAGCCACAGCCCCAACCCCTATTAATTGTATTCTTTAAAAAACAACAACAACAACAAAAAAACATTTATGGGCTGGGGATGTGGCTCAAGCGGTAGCGCACTCGCCTGGCATGCGTGCGGCCCGGGTTCGATTCTCAGCACCACATACAAACAAAGATGTTGTGTCCGCCAAATACTAAAAAATAAATGTTGAAATTCTCTCTCTCTCTACCTCTCTCTCACTCTCTCTTAAAAAAAAAAAAAAACAACATTTATCTTTTAGGTGTAGTTGGACATAATGCCTTTATTTTAGTTATTTATTTATTTTTTTTTTATTTTTTTATTTTTTTAGTTATTTATTTTTATGTGGTGCTGAGGATTGAATCCAGGGCCTTGTATATGCTAGGCGCATGTTCTACCATTGAGCTACAACCCCTGCTGCATTAATTGTATTCTTGATGACTGCTATCCTGACATGTGTGAGATGAAATTTCAGAGTAGTTTTGATTTGATTTCCCTAATTGCTAATGATATTTAACACTTTTTCATGTATTTGTATTTCTTCTTTTGAGAACTGTCTATTTAATTCATTTTCCCATTTAATAATTGAGTCATTTGATTTTTTGGTGTTTAGCTTTTTGAGTTCTTTATGTATTCTAGTCAATCCTCTGTGAGATGAGTAGCTAGCAAAGATTTTCTCCCATTCTGTAGGCTCTCTCTTTGTTTCCACTGCTGTGAAAAAGTTTTTAAATTTGACTCCATCCCATTTATGAACTCTTGGCATGACTTCCTAAGCTTTAAGGGTCCTATTGAGAAAGTTGTTGCCTGTGCCTGTAGGCTGGAGTGTTTGACCCCATGTTTTCTTCTAGGAGTTGCATAGTTTCTCATCTGATTCCTAGGTCTTTGGTCCATTTTGAGTTGATTTTTGTGCAGGGTGAGAGATAAGGGTCTAGTCTCATTCTTCTATGTATGGAGAGCCAGTTTTCCCAGTACCATTTGCTTAAAAAGTCTTATCTTTTCTCTAATTATGTTTTTGGCACTTTTGTCAAGGATCAGATGACTGTATCTGTGTGGGTTTGTCTCTGTGTCTTCTATTTTGTATAAAATTGATCTGTGTGTCTGTTTTTATGTCAATACTATCCAGTTTTTGTTACTATAGCTCTATAGTGTAATTTCAAGTGAGGTATTATAATGCCTCCAGCATTTCTTTTTTGGCTTAGAATTGCTTTGGTTATTCTGGATATTTTATTCTTCTAAATGAATCTTAGGGCTATTTTTGCTAGTTCTTTGAAGAATGTCATTGATATTTTAATGAGGATTGCATTGAATGTGTATATTGCTTTGGTATTAGGGCCATTTTAACAATATTAATTCTGTGTATCCATAAACACAGGAGGTCTTTTTTCATCTTCTGAGGTCTTCTTCAAATTTTTCCTTCTGTGTTCTATAGTTTTCATTGTAGAGTCTTTCACCTCCTTAGTTAGACTTATTCCTAGGTTTGTTTGTTTGTTTGTTTGTTCTGTTTGTTTTTAGTCTATTGTGAATGAAACTGTTTTTCTGATTTCTTTCTCAGCAGATTAATTGTTGACATATACGAAAGCTATTAAATTTTTCTGTTGATTTTGTAAACTGCTATTGCCAAATTTATCAGCTCTTTAATCTTTTGGTGAAGTTTTTTGAATCTTCTAGGTATGATATCATATCATCTGCAAACAGTGATAATTTGACTTCTTCCTTTCTTATTGTTATCTCTTTTATTTCCTTCTCTTGCCTAATTGCTCTGGCTAGAATTTCAAGCACTATAGGAATAGGAATGGTGAAAGTGGACATCCTTGTCTTGTTCCAGATTTTAAAGGAAATGTTTTCAGTTTTTCCCCCATTTACTATGAGGTTGGCTTTGGGTTTTTCATATACAGCCTTTATGATGTTGAGATAGGTTCCTTCTATCCCTTCAAGTGCCTCTCAATGCTCCCATTCTTCAGAAGTCTACCATGTCCATTTCTTTTGTTCCCCTCTGTTCTGTGGCTCCCACTTTCCTGGCGCACTCTAGTCTGTTCTTAAGGCCTGCTACCAAACTGTTGTCCTAGAAGTCGTCTCTTTACCACTCCTCTGTATCAGATCCAGGGAACAAGAAATTTCTTGGGTCCAATATTGTGGTGGACTTGTGTCTTTTGTTGTTGTTCTGCCCAGCATTGGACCTGTGTTGGAGGAATTTCCAGTGTTATGAACCTTGGTGGAAAGCAAAGCAAGCCTTTCACATTCAAAACTGAAAATATCAGATACTCAGTTCTCTGGTTTCTCCTGCAGCCAGAGTTTAGGCACAAAACCAAGGCTCTGCTAATCAGATGAGTCCTTCCTAGACTTAGAATTGGGAACTAGAAACTTGAAGAAATGGAGAACTCTAAGGAACTTTCTAGAAACATGAGGGTAGCTGCAGGACAAGTACATTACTGGCTCCAGTGTCCAGGACTTCCAGGTCAGTGGTGCTTGCAGCAGTGGTGCCCCCGGTAGGCTGTAACATATGATTTTGAGTTTCCTTGGTTACATAGCCCTGACCTGACTCCCTGGTCTTTCCAACTATTCTCTTTTTAAGTTTTTGGTACTGGGGATTGAACCCAGGGCCACTTTACCACTGAGCTACATCCCCAGCCCTTTTTATTTTTTTATTTTGAGACAGGGCCTTGTTAAATTGCTAAGGGTCTTGCTAAGTTTCAAGGTAGGTCTCAAATTGCAGTCCTTCTGCCTCAGGCTCCTGGGTTGCTGGCAGCAGAGGCATGTTCCATTGCACCTGGCGCAGCTATTGTCTGAGGATCAATAT